CAAAAGCTTTGGCGCGGAAGATTTTCAGGATTTGTGATTTTCAAATCGAGTAGTTCTCAAGATTTAGCTGAATCGGAACTAGATTTTTGATATTGGAGACCATGAATTTGAGATTGGGGGAGATGACAGCTTCTTCCTGAGGCACTGGTTCCATGTTCTCGCTTAGATGCGAGCAAACGGAGTTCGCCATGATCATGGCCGGAAAGAACCCGCTCTTGATACCATGAAGAAGACAGAGACCAGAGAAAGAAACGTATAGAGGAAGAAGGAATTAGAAAATGTATTCTTTGATAATCATGTACAGCTGGTCTCAAGGACATATATATAGGCAAAGCTTAAATAAGCAGCCAATGATATCATGCCACGACATACAATGTTTTAATATAACAGATTTACACTAATAATAGTGAAAATCTTAAAGAATGTTTATGTGCCAAATGCAGGAGTGCAATCCATGTTAGCATCGCCAACAAAAAATTCTGCATAAAATTGTTTGTAGACCTAGTATTATATGTTGTTCCAACTTATATGAATGGAGGAGTTGGAGGAGATGTCAGTAGAAGCAGCATATTCTCTAATATTAGGACTTACAGCCTCAGGGATAGACCAAGAGGAGTTGATCATCTAGTCCCGGAGCCTAGCTTTCCCACTGCGAAAAGAAAACTGAGAGGTAGCTTGAAATTTATCTGCTATTGTTCCCTCGAGCACCAAATGATCCCACAGGATAGCAATAGGACTGTTAGAGTTATTATGAAATTTGAAATTCTTTTTAACCATGGAGGCAGTGACGCTAATAGATTTCCAGAAGTCAGTGGCAATGGAAGAGGTCTCCAAGGCGAAGTATATGTAGCCTTAATCCAACTAAAATGGAGAGATGAATTATTGTAACATCTATAAATAATCTCATAGAAACCTAGTCGCCTGAAGAGAAGGAATACCCAGACTACCTTTGGATAAGGGCTTACAAGTGGTAGCCCACAAAATGAGGTGTAGCCTCTTGGAGTTGGTGTTGCCGGAATATAAAAATTTGGAGCATAGCTTCCCAATAGCTTTGGTAGTAGATTTAGGTAAAATCATGTCTCGAATCCAATAAGCCAACGTGTTTGCAATGATAAATTGATGTATTGAGATCTGCCTGCAAAAGAGAGCAAAGAAGCCTTTTAACCCAAAAGGAGGTTTATGATTTTGTCTATCAAAGGAGAAAAATCAAAAACTTTAGTTCTACCGATAGAAATAGGCATGCCTAAGTAAGAAAGCGGATTGGTGCCAGTGGAATAATCCTTGTGATGCCGACTTCCTGTTTGGCGTTAGTCTTGACTCGGTTGCACCCCTAGTTGGGACCAGACGAGCATCCCAAGTCACCACTAAGAGTTTTTCTGGAAGGTTTTCGTATTTCTCTTAAGGCATCTCCAACCGAAAATCTCATTTTTCACTCCAAAATGCCATGATTTATCTCTAATTGAACTCCATTTTGCCTCGTAACGGTCGTTCCATACCTGTTAACGGCGAATGGCGCACCATGGCGCAAAGGTCCATTTGGAGCCATGGCGCATAGCACACGGCACGGCGCGCGCTGTTTTGAACATGGAGCAAGCTATATAAAAAATATAAAATTATAGGCATGAATATGAAATATTATTAAAAATGAAAGACAAGCTATCATAATAATAAAAGACAGCCATAACATATATAAGTTATGACTTAGGGACTGCGGGATGTGTTCGGCGGATGCAGCAAACAGAAAATCTTTCGTAAAATTAGGACAATGAATAGTCGTTTATCTTAAAATATAGATATATTTTTAAATATAAAAAATATTCATAAGGATACGGAAATTTAAAAACAATTTGGCGCGCTATTTTGCACCGTGCGCAATGTGCCATGGCTCACATGTGGCGCAAATAGCGCGCGCTATTTTAAACACATGCGCCTCGCCATGAACATGGCGCCGTAGGTGCGCCGCGCCGCGCCGTGCGCCATGGCGCGCGTTATTTTGCGCCATTGACAGCTATGGGTCGTTCTCTTCTTTCACGTGTTTCTTCGGCAAGTTAGATAGAGACAAAAAATGGCAAAGATGAACAGTGCAACGCCAATACTATTCATCAGCGATGAAATGACTTAAGAATTACCGCTCGGTTGGAGCAATGGAAATATGACAAACAGTGTCGTTCCATTGGAGATGCTCTTATGGTTTATATACTAGAAGCCTGGAGTTCTTAGCATAGTTGGTTTCTCCATCACCTCCCACCATGTGAAAAATCTTCTCCATATTCATGGCTATAAGGTCCTCCAGAGAAAACTTCAAAAATCTACATGGTTATGTTCAAAACAACATCAAATTATCTCCGTCAAACTTAAGTTAAATCTTTCCAAACGTAAACAAATGTCTGCCCAAATCGCAGGGTAAGTTAAATCCTCGTTTCACGCCGTTTTCACCTTTTTCCTAAATCCTGGATTTAGTAAATCCGATAGTTTGGCGGATTTGGGGATTTAACCGAAGAAACGCGCGGAGAAATATCGTTACCTTCGCGGTGTGCACCCGTCATGACTTCCTATCCGACAGGAACAACGACTTCGTCGAAGAAGCGGAGAAGCTTCAGTAAGCGACTCTTTCAAAACCCTACACCACGCGAAGCCGAAGCAGCAACGCGATGAGGAAAAGCAAACCCTAGGCAAAAACCAAAGAGAATGAGACATTCATTCTAGAAATAGAGAGGCGCAGAGATGAAAATACCGCCCTCCTTCACCAACTCCGCTTTGGTTCCCATGAGCTATTCTTACTTTTTGCGTATATCTTTTCTTATCGATTGGATGGTAAGAAATTCAATTTCTGATACGCTAGCTTGTCTTACATAATACATTTGCTTATAGGTTAAAGTTTTGAACATTTTTTTTAATTTATTAATTTAAAACTTGAATTAATTATGCTATACGTTAAATAAAAATTAAAAATATTTAGACTTCCTTTAAGGCAGATTTTTTACTACTTAAAAGTATCTTTATAGTAAGAAAATTAAAAATTTTGTACTAGAAAATTGCTTTGAGAAGCACGGAGAAAGCAGTCCCAAACGAGATTAATTATTCTGTGCGAATGCTGAACGCCGTCCGGAGATCTACTAGAATGTGTCACGTCACCCCTTCGCTCGGTACCACGGCTCGGTACTGCTCGGTACCGCTAACGTGACACATTCTGGTTAGTCTCTGGACGACATTCTGTGTCTAGTCTCCGCACAGAATAATTTCTCACCAAACGAAGCATTAATCATATAAATTAGATATAAATAAATTAATCATATAAATTCACATGTTTGATATAAATCTTGAGATACTATTTAAATTAAAAAAAATAGAATTAAATTAATTATAATCATCTTAATTCTTATTTCAGCAAATTTATAGTCAAACTGAATCTGTCAACGAAACAATCCTATGGACACTAAAAATGATCAAATGGATCTAGATGAGCAGAAGTCAAGCACTTGAATTATATTTGAAATTTTTTAAATAATAACTGATATACCTAATGACATTCAATTGTAACATGCTTATAAAGTTATAATCATATCGAACATCTTAACGAGACAAATATAATAAGTCCAAGGTCATTGGATTCTATTATTGTTAAGATATGCAAATGCTCGATAAAATGATTACCATCAAAGCGATCAATACGGCTATATGATAGAGTGCTTGGGATTGTGACTAAAACTAAATCTTTTCTAATAAATTTGATATATTAATAGAAACAAGAAACATCTTTTGGAACATAGGCAATATAAATTAGAAAGTGAGAGGATTGTTGCATGCTGGAAGATGATAGATTCTTGTAAATGTTAGTTGATGATGATAGGTGTTATTCTTACACATGATGCTAAATAAATGGTATTGGAAAGCGGTTTTTGATAGATCAACTTTTTTTTTTAAGATTCTTTTATAAGCTTATTTTGTGCACATATGTTGACACTAAATAAAATGATGGAGGTCTTCTCCCTTAATTTCATCATAGATTAAGGCATTGTTTGTGACAACTTTCTTGCTGCTTCTTAAAGCAATTTTTTAGTAAAAAAATTTAAATTTTGTACTAAAAAACTGCTTTAAAAAGCAATGAGAAAATCATCCCAAATGAAGCCGAAGACTCCAATATTTTGCTTCTTTGTTTTATCTACGGTAGTAATGATCTTAGGCTAAAGTCAAACAACAAATAAAATAAAAAAATAGCAAAACTTATTTTATCATGTTTGTCATCTCATAAAGCTAAGTCAAACATCAGGCTTCGCCCTAGAGGTTTGTCATCACATAAAGCTCACAAAAACTCAAGATAAATATGCAATTATAAGAATTAACTTGAGGAACTTTCGAATAAGGAGAAAAAATAATAGAGTTATCATTCTTCCTCCGTCACACGCCAACTACGATCCTTTAGATCATCATTGCCCGACTCCGATCATTCCCACCTCCATCGCCCGCCGACTATGATCCCTCTAATCATCATCGTTGACTATGATCCCTCCGACTATCGATGTCGTCATCTCCAATCCCTCCTACCACAGTCGCTCGACTATAATATTCCTTCCTACCACCACCACTCGCAAAATAAAATCTCTCCAACCACTGTCGTTCGACTAAGGACCTTCGAGCATCTGTTGCCCACCGACTACAGTCCCTCCCACCAACTAAGGTCCCTCCGACCATCTTCGCTCAACTTATAGACCTTCTAACCTCTATTGCCTACCATGCAAATCAAAAGCAGATTTGTGATTTGGTGTTATAATAACACCTAAAATATTTATTTGTTTTGGTCTTATCACAGTTGAGCTCTCGTCCATGCAAATCAAAAGTCCTTAATTTGCCAAATAAAAATTTGTTGATGCTATTTATTATATAATTAAGCTCTAGAAAATAAAACAATTCTAAGAATGAGTAGGACATGGGAAGATTAGATACACAATTCTTACCTATGGCGTGCATATATCTATATATTCTCCTCCACAAATTGCTTGCTATTCATCTTTTAACCTCAAAAAAAGAACGAAAACCAAAAACTTTGGCTTCCCAGCAGACATGTGCCTTGCAATATTCTTTGCATAACGCGAGAATAAATCCTCCATAATGTCATTTCCAAAATGAGATGCAAGTAGAGGCTCCAAAATAGCTCTCGTGTATTTTGCTACATTTTTTCCACTTAAACTTTTATCCACCACAAAATTATCATTTGATTCATCAAAAGGATCCCAATTTGACTCAAAAGTTTGTAGTTGGTCAAGATGAAATGATCCTTCCATATTGATTGTAGATTTCACCTCCTCCATTAATGGTGTATAAAATGGTAAGTTAAAGGCATTCAATTTATCCACTTCCACAAGCCCCTACATTAAACAGAGAGTATTATAAAAAAATCAATCCATAAGCACAATCATGTATTGAGATCCATGCTAAATAATGGATTAAGTGGCGGTTTATATTTGCTTAGGGTTTTTTTTTTGGCACAAATAACCATGAGCTAGCTAGCTAGTAAATTCAACATACATTCCATGGAGAAATAATAGACATACTAGACAACATATAGCAAAGGTCTATTAATAATTTATATTCTCAAAAGAAGTTCACTCTTTATTCTTTTGAAAGTACAATAATTAAGTGTACAATCATTTAATAAGTTTCAATTATTATGTAGTGTCAATAGAATAGGGTTTAGAGTTCAGGGATTAGGTTTAGAGTTTGGGTCCGAAAATTGAAGTCATGTTGCCCAAATTGAGTTAAGCTTGATTTAATTTAAATTGATTGAAGTAAATCTTATATTAATTGATTTAGGTTTAAATAAATTGAATTAAATTAAAAAAATTAGTAAAACATATCTGAAGCGGGTAGGGTTCGGGTTTGAAAAATCGACCTGTTTGTAAAATGGATCGTGTCGAACAGTGCCAGGTCAATTCCGAGTTAGACCCGAACCTGACCTGTGACCCGATTTTGACCGCCCTAATTATATATAGGTTTTCAATGATGCTTGGAGATTGATAATATACATATGTTCAAGTTGTGTATGAACAACTTGAGAGAACATATAATATTTATAAGTAAAATATAGTAGGATGAAACAACATAAATCTCATTGATATGATCACTCCAAAGTTTTTAATATTTTTCACTATAAGTCCAATCATGTAAATGTTTCAAGCGAAGTTATGATATTTTTTTAAGGAAATTAAAATAAGATCTTTAATTAAAGCAAAAAACTGAGAAAATATGAATTTACCTCAGAAACTAATTCCTTTAGAGCATCTGCAAGAAGTCCCCAAAAATAAATGAGATTTTGAACGTGATTTAAGGAATTCTAAGAAATCACTTTCGAAATGTTCTAAATACAACTGAGATACTATAGAAGAGCTTTCTTTACTGATATAAATGTCTGTGCCATTTAATTGATAACCTTTTTCTCCCTCGAGCCCTTTTGGTACCTAAAACATAAATTTATGTTTATTTAGGGAAGCAAAATACACTTAGCGCAAATCATATGAATAAAATTTTATGATTGATATATTACTTAACAATATATATTGCCTTAGATGTTAGCCTTTATACAACATTTTTTTATTTTTTTATAGAATGAACTAATAAAAAAATCTGTCAAGCATTAGGCTTCGTTTGGGACGGCTTAATGATTCTCAAAACAGCTTTTTGATACAAAAAATTGAATTTTTGTACTAAAAATGCTGCCATGAGAAGCAGCAAGAAAAAATTGTACTAAAAAGCTGATTTGATAAGCAGTAAGAAAGCCGTCCCAAACAAATCCTTAGTGAGTACTGAGTACACATATAGCCACCAAAATCCAATATTTACATCTATTTTTTAAAAAAGAAAATATAGATATAGTGGCTAAATGAAATTTATGGAGAATATATATATTGACATACCTGAGATAGCCACATGAGGCAATAGGAGGAGTGAAAAAAATGCACGCTCTTTGAAGGAAATAACCTCCCATAGAATGAACCTGGTAATCCGACAACATAGAATGGCACATAGTCATCCCCTTTCTCTTCTCTAATCTTCTGCTCATAGAGCATTGATAATTGGAAAAGATTGTTAAAGTCATTGCTAGGAAGATCATTCAGAAAGAATTGGATCTCAGGTTTCTGTTGGCTTAACTGACGGCAATGCTGATCAACAAAATTGATGACTTCAGAGAGCATACGTAATGCGTTAGGACCAGAGGAGCATCCCAAGTCAGCAACAACAATTTTTTCTGGGAGGCTTTTCAATATTTCTTTTATGGCTTCTTCCACGAATGGCTTTGTCTTCAAGATTGCCTTCCCCTACCAACCATGAAAAATTGTTTAACAAATAGTAATTTTTCCTATCAAATTGTGATTTTTTATTCATATTAACAATATATATCAGGCTAAGAACACAAGCCTAAGTATATATCATTTGGTTCCTGCAACATAAAAATGTTTTAAAAACAACACAATTTATTTTTTTTATTCCGTCATTCAATCGACAAGCAACCAAATGGTCTTTAGTTGGAGAAATTATTATGTGCGGAGACCGAATACATAACGATGTTCGAAGATCAATCAGAATGTACCATTTTGTCAATATCGAGTGGTACCGAGCCGTGGTACCGAGCACAGAGATGACGTAACACATTCTGGTTGATCCCTGAATGGCCTTCGGTGTCCGCACAAAATAATGAATCCCTTAGTTGAAGCTGTAAACAATGTTAGTAGGGTTAATACTACAAGGGTACAGCATATCGGGTATAGAAAAGCTAGTAGCTGTTAAGTCAAAAGGCACACATACTTGAAGCCTGGAGTTGTTAGCATAGCTGTTCTCTCCAGCACCTCCCACCATGTGAAAAATATGCTCCATATTCATGGCTAAACGTTCAACTTGATAAAACTCACTTATTGTACCGTCTTCCGCCTAAGCACGAAGGGCAGCCGGCCGAAGGGGATCTCGAGACGTCGAGCGGAAGAACGATGAGGAAAAGCAAGCCCTACAGGCCTAAGGCGCTAGGAAGAGCATAGACAAAGACCAAAAAGAAGAAGATAGGCAGGCAATGGCAGAGAATAATTATGCCTACCGCTCTCCCAACTCTTCTTATTCTAACGCTAAGGAGAACCAATTAACCAGCAGAGATGATTCATATTTAAATCTTTATTTAAAATACTACCAATGAAGAATTCCCAGTTCTAGCTTTGTTTATGTTTAGAAATTATTCTGTACTGAGGCTGAACTGAAAGAATTATTTGGGTGGTAAGTTTACACAAATTATATACATAGTGTATATAATGTGTGTCATATATCTCTGTATACATTATGTACACTCATATGTTCGGACGATTCTTCTCGTCCTAACTCTGCACAGAATAATTTTTCGTATATGTGATATTTATATGACTATATAAAGAAAAAAAAAACAATCTATATGATAATATGAGTTTGTGACTTTGTTTAATTAGCTTAAAACTCCTAAACATAAATCTTTATTTAAAGATTAGGAGCTAAATAAGATTTTTTTTTATTTTGTTAGTTTATAATTTTATGAATTAATAATCAATTAAGATACAAATATATAATAAATATGATTTAATTGATATGATTAGAATTGATAAATTTATAATAAATTGGTTGGAAATCTAACATGCAGAATTATGATATTAATATGAGGGCCAAACATAATAATTATTAATTTAAATATTTAAATGCGTATCTTAATATTTGTATATTTAATATTTAAAAATATCACTAACATATATATAATTAAATTATAAAGATTAAATAATATATATTTTAGTTTATGAGAAATATCTGTTATCTATGTAATTTATTTTTATAATTATTATTTAACATTAGAAAAATAAGTAAGAGCTCACATGCGGCATGCCCCTATTAAATTTTGTAGTGATGGCAAAGACAGATCACAGAAAGGACGAAAGCTAATCTCTACATTATTGGGCTTTAAATTTTCTTTCAGATCTCGGAAGTCGTTTCAAAGTATTAACTACTAATTGTTTTTTTTTGGGACATTTAGGCCAATTAAGGCAAACTCACACACACAACGCATACACATAGACTCGAACTTTAGACCTCTTAGTTGGAAGCCTAAGCTCTCAACCAATAGGCCAAAGAGAGTTGTGTATTAACTACTAATTGTTGAATGGCCTCAATTTTTTTATTTTATTTTATTTTTCAGCTCATGCAGCTTCATATATTTAGCTATTTTTCATTTGAATGCAGCCTTCCATGTCACGAGCAATGACTTTTTAAACTTAAAGCAATTCAATACTGACAAGTACCAGCCGGATAAGACAAGCAATATTATTTTGAAGGATATATATATATATAATAAATTAATAATATTACAATGTTATATAAATAAATAAAACTTATTTTGTAACTAAAGTTTTTTTATTTATATATAAGTAAAAAAAATTAACTTGACAGACACAAATCACAAGAAATAATTAAATTTAAATTTTTTAAAATTAAAATTGAGATTATCCAAATAATAATCTCAACAAATCTATCATCTCGATAGGACGAATCCAACAACAACAAAATCGATCTAACTCAAGTCTAAATGAGATCAGATTAAGAGCTTCAAATATATTTAGAAGCTTCTGAGCATTAATTGAATGACCAAATGTTCTCTATACTAGACATGCTTATTGTTGAATCGTGAAGCTCAATAAGTGAATAAAACAAACCCAAAATCACTCAATTCTGACTATATTATAGCACATAAATGATGAATAATTAAAAATCAAGATCAAGAGAATTAATATGAGTTATAAAATGAATAGGTTTATATTCTAATTCAAATTATCAAAATGCATATTCAAAAAAGCCTATAAATATAGATCATTCTCCACATGAGAGGGAAAAAAACAATAGAGAGAACGAGAGCTTAATTGTATTTCTAGTCATCGCATTTGACAACTATCACTATTTATTGTCACCAAAAACTACCAACACCACCAATGATCAGTATCAAAAATTGCAAACATCTTTAGATTACTAAAATGATTTAACCCTACTATTGGGTACATTTGTCCGTTTTTGAACATATGCTTTCTATAATATGTCATCCCTATTGAAGAAATTAAGTTATGTTGTTGAATATTAATTGTACCTCTCTTTCTAAGGTAAAATAAAATGTTTGTTTAATCCCATCTTATTCAATACTGAAGAAAAAAAAATCTTATATTACTTAATACATATGGATTTTTCAACTTGGATAGACCCCATGATTTTTTCTATTTTCAATTTTCAGCATAGTTTTTTTTTTTACTATTTTTATTTGTGAGTGATAAATTTTTGGACAAAGCTTAGACGTAAATCACATACTCTACCAACTCAATTTATCTACCAAGCAGTAATAAAAATTCTTATATTTTTTATTTTTATTTTTTAAAAGCAATTTTCAAGTAATAATATAAATAGCGATTTAAAATAGATAATGATTTTAACTAATCAATGAAATAATTAGTTGTGTAAACAATAATTTTAATTTAGTTATTTAAAATAATAATTCAGTAATTAATTAGATTATTATTTCTATAATTAGTAACCAAAAACATATTAAATTAATCAATTTATTAATTAAACTATTTGATAATTATATTAGCTTATAATAATATTATTTATAATTGTAACGTAATGACAATCAATAATATTGGAATAAATAAGTACCCCATGCCTAAAATGCAGATTAAATTTAAAATACAAACTAACTTTGAGTTTTTTTTTACAAAATTAATTATTTTAAATCCTAAGTTATGTTGCTAAACAGCCTCACAAGATTTGCTCTAATTTAACATATTTTTAGCCAAATAATTTAAAATTTTTAACACCATCAAGATTTAGTAAATTCGGAAATTATGATTTTTATAATTTTCTAAATCCCACTTGAACTGCCTTTTTTACAAGTGTTTTAGACTCTTGAGCTTTATTCGACTAAAAATAATCCAAGTAATTATGAAACCGTAGAAAATCATTTTTAAAAATCTAAATTTTTTTAAAAAATATTTAGATCAATTAAGATAAATTCACATACAAATCACATACCTAAGATTCAAATTAAAAAAAAAAATTGTTCATAACAAAAACCATATCAACCAACAAATTGAGAGGAGCTGCATAACTCTAAATTTCAAATAAAATATTCTATATAATTTTAGCGAGAGTTTATAAATATTATTTTGTTCAACTATAAAGTCATAAGATTGCCAATCATATCATTCTCACTTACTTACATCTTTTATATCTATTCTCCTCCACAAACTGCTTGCTCTTCATCTTTTAACTTCATAAAAAGGATAAAAACCAAATACTTTGGCTTCCCAGCAGACATATGCCTTGCAATATTCTGTGCATAACGAGAGAACAAATCCTCTATAATCTCATCTCCAAAATGAGATGTGATCAGAGGTTCTACTATTGATCTTATATAATTCGAAACATTTTTTCCGCTCAACCTTTTGTCTTCCACAAAAGTATCATTTGATTCATCAAAAGGATCCCAATTTGAATCAAAAGTTTGCACTTGCTCGAGTTGAAATGATCCTTCCATGTTGATAACAGATATCACTTCCTCCATTGATGGTGAATAAAATGGTAGGTTAAAGGCATTAAGCTTATCCTCTTCCACAAGTCCCTACATTCAAAATATAGCATTATAAGGAAGAATTTTGTGCAGTGAGGTACTCTATAAACACAATCATTTATGTGAATAGGTTTTTTTTGTTTTTTTACTTTTGGCACAAATAACCATAAATTCATCATATTTTCCAAAAATATAATCTAAGTACACGTTAGCCATAATATAGGTGATTCAAATTCTAAATGGCCCACCTCTCCAATGGAGAAAGAAAAAATATTTGAGCTGTACTTGATGGAGTGATTGATACTAACTGGAATTAATAACATGAGGACTCAGGGGCGGAACCCCTTGGTAGTTAGGGGGGGCAATTGCCCCCCCTCAAATTTTTTTTTTTAAATTGATTATATGATTTTTTAAGTAATTTATCTCTTTTAATTCATTTTTTAGTCTTTATTACAAGGGTTTTTAGCCAATTGCCCGCCTTAAAAAAATTTAAAATACTATGGTCTTTAGGTAATTGCCCCTAACAAATAGTAAAGAGAATTCATCATTGAATTCATAAAATATTTTTTGAACTAAAATTTGTTCCAGGGGCGTTGCCCCCTTGAACCCCCGACATATATGCCTTATAAGTTTGCCCCCCCCCCTAAAATTTTGGGCTGGTTCCGCTTCTAAACATAGAAAAAATGCTAAGAATGAACATGTAATCACTTGAAAATGCCCAATAGATAGCCTATATAGATCCTGGATGATTATCAAGAAATCTAATCTTAATGGGGTCATCAACATATTTTTTATAGTAGGATATGTGATTTATTATGGGGTCTTGTATTCATAATCATCTGAACTATTATTTCAGAAAACTTATAGTCGAACTAAACATCTTGACAAGGTAAACCCAAAAATATCAAAGGTGGTAACATCTGTCCCTTATAAGAAAAAATAGATATTTGTTCTCAAATAATCTCATATTCTTTAATTGTGAAAATTTGTGAATTCTTGCATCAACTATTATATAATGTATATTTCAACTGAGTCGAACCTCGTAATTTTGTCCTGGCCTATCCAGGGTTTACATGCAAAAAAAATAGTATTTGATTTTTTTTTTTTTACTTTTAATTTGTGTGCTGAATTTTTTGTCCAAAGTAAATACATGAAGTACTTACTCTACTGACGCAAAATTTATAGCAGGTAACACAAGTAGATGCTCTATTATTGTTGAGATAGATCGCTATATCTTTTTCCACTCAAATTTTTATATGCCATATGATTATAAGTTAATTCATCAAAAAGATCATAAATCAACAAAAAACATTGTTGCTTGATGAAGATAGAATAATGATCCTTCTATCTTAATGGTAGATCTTACTTCCACAATTAAAGTTCTAAGAAACGGTTAGTTGAAAGCATTTAGTCTGATATATTCCCCAACCTACACATTCAATAGAGGATAATATATATAAATGAACTCATGCAGGAAGAATGTATGACCTATACGTAAAGGTTAAGGTTTTTTTTTTTTTTTTTAATTGGTTAAGCACTTCATGATCGACATAAATAATAATGAACTAAGGAGCTCCATTAACCTTACTTTCTATTAGAAATAATATAGATAGTATGTAATATGAGACCAATTAATGTAGGACATGTTTCCTATAAATATATAATGCCAAATTAAAAAAAAAGAAAAAAAAAATCTTTTGCTCTCTTAATTACATAATTATTAGTATAATCAAACCATAAGCGTGATTTCTAAATAATATTAATAAAAATAATGATAAGAGGATTATAATAAGTGTTGCTTGAAGACTAGAGTATATAAAACTTTTCCAAATATTTTATTAATGATAAATGAAGTATAATATCACTTATAACTTTTTATATATATGAGGAAATGAAGGAAAAAAATAAGAATATGAAACTCTAAAACATTTTATAAGTTTATATTCAAACTCCAAACATTCAAAGATTGTAAATAAAGCTATATAATTTTTTCTTAAGGTATTTATTTTGAGAAAAAAATGAAAAAAATACATGCATACCTCAAGAACCATAGCTTTTAGAGCCTCAGCAATCAGTCCCCATGTATACAACAATCCTCCAATAGATTGCCAATCTGCCCTTCCCAAAAATGATAAAATCATCCTTCCTCCAAAAATAAGTTCTTTAGAACGTGATTTAAGGAAATCCGAGAAATCTCTCTTAAATTGCTTCAAATATAAATTAGCCACTGTAGTGGAGCTTCCTTTATTGATATATATCTCTTTTTCATTCAAATGATAGCCTTCTTCTTCCAGCCCTTTAGGTACCTAACATAATATATACGTTGACAATATAAATTTTAGCCGTTACAATTTATTCAAATTCTTTTGTTATGAGATCAAACAATATATAAATGATGTGAGATAGAGGGAAAATATTATTACGTGAGTAGACCAGACATACAGTATCATCCGTTTTTATCCCTGTTCATCATTGTGCTTTACAAAGACAAAATCGGACGATTCTCTGTGTCCGATCTCCGAACGTAATAATCTCTGAGAGAGAGAAGATATTAGATATTGACAAACCTGAGATAGCCAATGGAGGCTATAGGAAGAGTAAAAAATGTTGACACTTTTTGAAGGAAACAATCTCTTGTAGAACGAACCAGGCAATCCAACAACATAGAATGGCACATAATCATCCCCTTTCTCCTCTCTAATTCTCATCTCATATTGCACAGATAATTGAAAAATATTGTTGAAGTCATTATTAGGAAGATCATTAAGAAAGTATTGGATCTCGGGCTTTTGTTGGCTTGACTGAGTGCTGTACTCATAGACGGCATTTAAAATCTGAGTGAGCACAAGTAATGTGTTGGGACCAGAGGAGCAACCGAGGTCGGCCACAACAAGCTTTTCTGGAAGGGTTTTGCATATTTGTTTTATGGATTCTTCCACTAATGGCTTTATCCTGATTACTGCTTTCTCCTATCAATCACAAGAAATTATTTAAACTCAGCAATATCTTATTAGTTCATTAAATACAGTTCTTATTAATGATATTATCATGATTTGATAAAGCCAATGCCATTAATTTTGTTGCTGAGAGAGAAAGATTTTTTCTAAAATAATCAGATTTCATCATTTGATTGAATTGGATGTATTTGAAGATAATTATTAAATAACATAAATCCTTCAAATATAATGATTTTTTTCAATTTTATATAAAAGTAATAAAAATAAAATAAAAAACACAGTAAAACACCACTTTCTATGGTCATGTGCTGAAACTCTAGAGTGTCATAATACGGAAAAATTATTCTGTGCGGACACCGATCAATATCCAGAGACTAACAAAAAATAATCACGTCACTTTTTTACTGTACCACAGCTCAGTACTCGGTACCAATACCGATGCTCGGTACCCCACGGTACTACGGCATCTGGACGTAAAGTTGCGTCCGAGGTCCGCACAGAATAATTTCTCCATAATAGGATTGATATGAGAAAACATATTAAAGTAGGTAGCTGACAAATCAAAAGGCATACATACTTGGAGCTGGGAGTTTTTAGCATAGCTGGTCTGTCCTCCACCTCCCAGCATTTGAAAAACTTGCTCAAAATTCATGGCTAGAAGCTCCGCTTGAGAGAGCTCACACACACAATCTGCATATTAATTACGTTCAAAGCGATACAAAGATATTGGTCTTAACTCATAAGACAACTAATTAGGTAAAATATGTACATGCAAACATTAATAAAAGTGTCGTCTTCTCTAAATTTGACAAAAACAAAATAAAAAATTATACGTTGTGTATTATATTTTTCATATTTATAGAATTTCTTAAATTTATCCTTTTAGATATCAAGTACTGATCTCTTAAAATAATTTTCAAAATCTTCAATATTAATCTTTTTTTCATTGGGTCAATATTATCGCAATTTAAAAGCTTAAAAATAGGTAGCAATTCAAAGAAATTAATTTGAGCCATATTCATCACCTATATAATAAATCACACGTTAATGACGACTATTTTCTATCAATCAAATAATTAAAGAAGCTAAAGAAACATATAATATCTTAAAGGCTTGCAGATGCGGCACCTTATAAGGGGATTAGCAAATCCGGCCTACAAGATAACAAGTTTTTTTTCTGCTTCTTAACACTTCAAACTCCAAATTTCTATTTGTTATTTTCAAAACATTATAGGATAATTAGTTTCCTACAGAATATGAAAACATAGCTAGTTTTTTCAATAGTCTGTGCTCTATTACTCTACTGTTGCTTATGATTCTTGCCATGATAATTGGAAGCGAATACTTCAAAAACCTTAGCGGCTGTTTGGGTAGCAGGATTTAGGTCAGATTTGAGCGAAATCCAGCCAAACGACCTAAAATGCAAAACCAAATCTTATGGCAAATGAAAGCCGCGGTAGATAGAAAATTCCGCCTTTTTGTGCTAAATCCTGAATCGATTTCCGAAATTCTGATTTTTGCCGGATTTACGAAATCCATTTGCTAGAGAGGAAGAGCCCGCTCGTTAAATCCGCTCTATGGTCAAACAATCACATGGGATTTAATAAGATTTATCATGAATGTTAGCAAACAATTTTCAGGATTTAGACTCTTCCGAATTTTTGAAATCCGAATTTAGAGAATTTATGAAATCCTACTAAATTAAATCCTAGGTGCTACCAAGCAGCCCCTTAAATTTTACCTAAATGAGTTCACTGAATCAAAGTGGCCAGAATTCAGTGGAGAACAATCAGAAAGAAGAATGAGACAGTCATGTATCTAAAATTTTAGTCATGAAAGTAGAATAAAATGACTATTGATCCATGCCTACTTGCAAACTAAATGATGACAGAAATCTTCTTCTAACTGAGTTTTAGAGAGAAGAAATTAAAATGAAACAAGCAAATATCTTGATTGCCTGGAAATCTGGCACGCAGGAAGATGATGAAGTTAATATAACAGGACCTTAGATGTTGAGATGCTGGCCTGCTGCAAAACAATTGAAGTCAAGAAAGGAAAAAGAAGTTAGAAGTAGAAAACTAGACTTGTTGTAGCTAAGTTTTAGAATTCTCCTTTCTATTCGTTGGCATTTATACTCATATATGATGCCATTTCCTTTTATTTTAAAATATTATATTTGAAATAAATAAATTATAATTTGAGGAATTATATACATATTTATGATATGATTTTTTCATATTTATACATCTAATGGTTATATATATATATATATATCACTATTATTGACTTTTATAAGATAAAACATATTTTTTTTCATTCATTTTAAAAACTTTAAATGATATATTGTTGAAAATTAATATTTAAATATTAAATACATAAATTTATAAAAAATATACTATATTTATTAATATCTTTATATCTTTGTTCTTTTTTATTTTTCGAAACGGAATATCTACTCCCTATTACTCTAAAAGGAGCATTTGGTGGTGTAACTAATCCTTAGGAGGAACCTAGAGAAACCACCTACTATAGTAAAGGACATTTTTTTTTTATTATTTATCAAAAAAAAAACATTTATAAGGGCCCACATTTCCCTTATTATAAACGAGGGATAAATTATATTGATGGCAAAGACAAATAACAGAAAGGACGAACTCCAGCTCATTTTGATTTATAGGTTGGAAGTTTTGAATTTGGGTTCTACCCTTACATAATTGGCTCAAAAGTCTGAAAAAAATCTCTTGAGAACGTGGTCTTTATTTACAGATCCGTTTTTTGTTGTGGGGGGTTTTGACATCTGTACAAACTTTTTTGTTTTTTTATTGAATCTTTTTGGTAAACCGTTTCAAAGTATTAATAGTTTAGTAGACAGAGGCAGCGATATGTGAGGCCTTACCCACCGCTGCTTGTCCGGGCAGGGGCGGAACCAGCCCTAATTTTCAGGGGGGGCAAACTTATAAGACATATATGTCAGGGATTCAAGGGGGCAGTGTCTTCTGGCGGGGTTCGACCTGTTGGGGGCAATTATCTAAAAACCATAGTATTTTAAAATTTTTAGGGGGGGGCAAATGGTTCCGCCCTTGTGTCCGGGTGATGAAAAATCGGCTGGGCAAAGTCTAGGTCCCTAGTTCGAATCCCTTGGCAAGCAGTGAAAGTCTTAAGTGTTGGCCCGTGTATATTGGTGTGGGTTGCATGCTAGGTCAATCGAGATTTTCAGTGGCCTAAGAACAGTACTTCCTCGTCACAAAAAAAAAAAAAGGTGAGGCCTTAAATTTGTTGTTATCACACAACTCTCCTTGGCCTATTGGTTGAAAGCTTAGGCTTCTAACTAAGAGGTCCAAGGTTCGAGTCCATGTGTAATGTGTGAGTTTATCTTAAATGGCCTAAACGTCCCAAAAAAAAATTTGTTGTTATCATGAATCAGCTTTCCCTTGTCACGGGGCGCAGCTTTTTAAAATTTCATCGATCCAACTCTTTCTGTTTTTGGGTAAGTTGCATTTATCCAGCAGAAAACTGACAAGTTCCAGCTCGACAAGGAAAGGGATAATATTTTGGTGCTACCCACTTGGCTATTTTTTTTTTTAATAACATTTTATCTTATTATTATTATTATATATATTATTATTATTATTATTAATTTTTGGTGAGATTTTTGGATGAATTAATCCAACTTAGTTTTATCTCTTCCTGAATAGCCCAAGCTTGCAACCAATAAATTAAGATGGGCTCCATATTTTTATTAATTTCTTGAATATTTGGGAGGGTTCTACGTAGGGGTGTTAATTTTTGACACGACCCGAACCCGACCCGAAAAAATCCGGATTCGGATTGAACAAATCAACCCGTTTTAAAAATCGGGTCGGATTTGGGTTGACCCAGCAACCCGAAATTGACCCCAAAAGTGACACGAAAACTCATTTTTGACCCGAAAATCCGAGATTGACCCGATTTTGACCCGAAAATCGAATATTGACCCAATTTTGACCCGAAAGTTAGGTCAACTGCGGGTCATTCGTGTCGGGTCGGGTTGACCCGGACCCGAATCGGTCGGATTCGGGTCCAGAAACCTGACGGGTCGGGTTCGGGTTGACCCGAATAATGCCGGATTAGTTCCGCTGTTCCGGGTTCGACCCGAAACTAATCCGCTGATCCGAATTGACACCCCTAGTTCTATGTCATAAATAAGCCGAAGTGGAAAAATGAGTAAGTTGCATGTAGACAAAGATGCCAAAAAAGAAGACGAGGGGGGAGGAGAGATTTAAAAACTTTATACTTAGGATAAAGATTATGGAGTTTTTTTCTTTCAAATCATTTAAAAAATATGCATGAAAAAGACCAACGCCAATAGCTATTTAGATCCCAAATGGAGATTAGAAGTGCTCTACCGAAGGAGAAAATTAAAAAAGACAATCCATTATAGAATAATGCCTAAGGGGGAGTTTTATTTGAAATTGAGGATGAGTATAGACACAAGAATAATAGGTGGGCTATGCTCTTATCTTTTACATTATAGAAAAATAATAATATCCTTATCTTAAATTGTGAAACATGAAACATTATTTTTCAAAGAGAATAATAAATATAAGATAATTTCATGCACTTTGTTGAGACCAATGATGTATAATAGATTAATATTTCGTTTTCTATGGCTTTATTACTGCTTCTTAAAGTAATTTTTATTTATTTTTTGTACTAAAAAATTGCTTTAAGTAGTAGTAAGAAAGCTGCTCTAAATGAAGCCTAAGGCTTTTTTTAGATCACTTTCTAGTGTTTCTTAAAGTAGTTTTTTAATAAAAAATTTAAAATTTTATACTAAAAAATTGTTTCAATAAGCAATAAGAAAGTTGTCTCAAACCAAGCCTAAGGCTTCGTTTGAAACGACTTTTTTATTGCTTTTTAACTATTCCCTCAGCTTATCCAGCGTGGTTTGATTCCTCTCCCATTCGGCGCAACCCCTTCAGTGGGGAGAAAAAAAAGTGCGGGTCCGACATCTAATAGGTTGGTTGCCGCTAGCGCACTGAGGGACTAGTTATGCCGCCAAAAGACTCCTTCGAACTTCAAAGGTGGCAGCAGTAGGTATCCCGTTCAAAAAAGAAAAATTGTAGAGTGCCCACACATACAAAGAAATAAATGTGGCCTTTAATTTATTTTAATTTTATTATTGAATGAAAGCTGCATGTCAGGCGGTAGAATTATTTATGTTTCAATTCATGTTCATACAATACAATAATACATAACTAAGAGAGAGAGAGAGAGAGAGAGAGAGAGAGAGAGGATATTATTGATGAACATATGGAGCAAGAATGTCGGATCTATTCATAATGGCCAAGTGGGTGTTTTTTTAATATAATTGATTTAGTGCTTCATGAAAAAAAATATTCATGAGCTAGGAAGTTCCATTGACCGTGCTTTCAAACAGAAATAACATAAATACTATATGTAATATGTGATCAAGGCAAGTTACCTACTTATATATATTCTCAAAAAAAAAAAAAAAATCTGATTGCTCTCTTTTTAACATAATTAGCAGTACAATTAGCCAATAAGTTTTTTTTGTGACATTTAGGACATTTAAGACAAATTCACATACACAAATACTCGAACCCAACACCTCTTAGTTGGAAGCCTAAGCTCTAAACCAAAAAGCCAAGAAGAGCTGTGTAATTAGCCAATAAATTTGATTCATAAGTATTAATAATTAAAATAATGATAAGAGAATTATAAGTGGTCATCAAGGCATTTATAGATCACAATTCTATTGAGAATTGAAATGCTTGTTAAAGTGATTCCTCCTATGTGATTGCTTTTTGAAGTTATCAATGCCCTTAGTGACTTTGTTATTTGATGATGTGGAGAATTCGATGTAAGAAAGAACTATTAACTCGCATCAAATTCATGTAATGATAATACTCAACCCCATTAGTTGAGTTATAATGGGGGCCCTGGGGCATAGGCCTCCACTGGCCCAAATAAAAAGCCCGCAATCACTGACCTAACGAAAAAGCCCACAGAAATTTCTACTTATAAAGAATATAAAATATGACCCTCATGAGATTCAAACCGCCAACCTCTAATGCAGAAGTCTTAGGCCTCGGTTGATTCTCCGGCTCTATTTTTTTCATTTTTAGCTGAGTTTTCTGAACGGCAAATGGAGAAAAAAATTTCTCCTCAAATCGGCGGAAATACGGAGGTTCACCGGAAATTATTTGAAGAAGCGGTGTTACAAAACAGCAAAACAATCCTTTTTCACAGATTCAAATCACAGACGGAGAAATTACAGAGAAACAAAGGAGGCCTTAACTAGGCGGCCACATGATGGCAATGGCTCAAAAAATCACTATCAAAAATGGAAATTCCTTCTCTTTCCTTTTTCTTTCATTTTGTGAAGAAATGTGTATCTTTGAACGTGCTCCAGAGGTCTTGTTATAGCCTTATAGGCATTCTTTCAACAAGTAAATTCGTTCTGAATGAAGTTAAAGAAACTTTTAACATTCTTCAGTCGATTTTTGTTGGAAAAGGTTTCTTACAGTACACCATTCTTTCTTTTGCATTGAGGAGCTGCTTGGATTTCTGCAATATAGCTGCAAAATGCTAAAAAAAAGAAAATTTTACAAGTGTTAAAAAAAATATTCTGCATTTCAACATTTTACTAACCGATTTCTGGCATTACAAGCAGAAGACGGTTCTTTGTATCGAAGAACTATTCATGAAATAAATGCAGAAAAATAACTTTTTTTTAGTATTTTATTTGGAGTTAGAGAATTTATTGTCTTAATATTTTATGAAGATTGGGTACATATATGGATAAAAATAAGTTGTAAGAGACACTAAAATTTTTATATAAAAAAATTAGAAAACAGGAAAAAGTGCAGGACAATTAAAATGATTCCAATGGTATTTATTATCTATTATATATGATTTTCTTATTCACAATTGGGAAATATATTTGTACAATATAGTGGACAGAAGATGTATAGAATGAATAAAGTTGGAAGACTCGTGTGGCATGGGAGTATCTTCAAGAGATTTTTAACTGTTTGTTTGGTCATATTTCCTTGAGAAAAAGAGATGAGAGACCAAATAAATCTAGTATAATTCTTAATGATGAAGTTC